GGAAGAATCAGGAGTCAGCTCCATGGCAGCGGATAGTTGCAGCAGTGGATGTCCAGAGACATGGACACACTGCCCAAGCAGGAAGTGCACCCTGACTCGTGGGCCCCGGGAACAGGTAGCAGTCCGGTACTTAGTGATACACGTTGCTCTGGGCGAACTCATCATTGTCTGCCCTCCCCCAGAAGGCTGATCTTCTAGGGGAAGATCCTGACCTGCCCAGTTCTAGCAGGTCGAGGTCAGCATGCAAGCTAAGGAGGTACGTGGGCCCCACAGAGGTGAGGGGGGATGCCTCACCAGGACCCTGTTGGGTGGGGTGAAGAGGAAGAAGGATGAGGGTGTCAGGCTGCAGCAAAGGTGCACGGTGTCTGTGAAAGTGTGGAGAACCACAGATTCTCCATTCTGGAAGCAAATAAGGTGTGATGATGACGGGAGAGAGAGAGAGACAATGGAAATGGCTAGGACCTGGTCTGGCACATAGCAATTACTTCAGACTCTTAATGAGATAGATTGACACCGTGACTGCAGCAATGGGCTCGAGTGGGTCAAAGATGATGAGGACGGCACAGGATCGATCAAGGGTTCAGATTCATTGTTCACAGGGTCGTTACGAGTCGCACTTGATAGCACATACCAAAAATTACTTCATAAATGGTAGCATTGCGACTGTTGCACAGAAAGACAAGGAGAAGGCTGCCATTGCCACAAGGGTCAGGGATGAAGGGCTAAGACCAGTGGACTTAATCTGCAGGGCGATGGGGTACAGAGGCCCATTGTAGGCAGGGTTTAGATGGGTCTGACTGGTGCTGGTAGGATGGCTTGAAAGGGTGTGCATGGAGGCAGGGAAACGTGGGAGGAGGCTGCAGCCTGCTTCCAGGTGAGAGAAGCAGAGTCCAGACTTGGGACACTGATGATGGTGGGTGAGTGTAGGTGACAGATGTGCCAAGCTCACTAGCCAGCTGGCAGCACAGGGAAGGTAAATGGAAATGAGGATGACAAACTGAGGCTTGGTTTAGGCAGCCTGTGTGGGCCACACCTGAAGATCTTCCCCTTTAGTCTTCCTTTGAGGAGACCGGAAGTTTGGGATCAAGAGTGGGTGTGGGGCAGGCAGCCTGGAGGTCACCGCTCTTTCCTCAGTTCCCAGGTGTGGGACCGTGAAGAGGGCATTTTTTTTCCCCTGAGACTTGTCTTCATCTGAAAAGAAGGAATGAGAAGCTTCCTGTGGCCTTGGAAGGCCTCACAGCCTCGCCTCAAAGGTTGCAGAAGGTGGTCCCACGAGGAAGGAAGCATCTCAGCAGCAATCTTTCTAGGCTTGCAAGGGAGAGGCTCTCTGATTGGTGGAGAGAGGTGGGAAGGGTGGGGAGGACGCTAGCTGAGAACAGATGCTGGCTCATCCCTCAGGGCTCTCAGATCCTACCCTGTATAACCTGGAGCTAACATCAAATGCAAGGCCAGGTGAGGAGCATGTGTACCTAGGCACAGGCACACACACAGCTAAGCAACAAATACTTTCTCCCTCTGACTCTGCTGCCTCCGTGGTGTAGAGGGTCAGTGACAGACCTCCGGAGGGGTGGTCTTCCCTCTGCTGGACTTTCTGAGCAGCCAGGAGCAAAGGCCTGCCTTTCTCCAGCTTCTCTGTCTCTCAAGCAAGGGATCTGGTGCAAATCCACGGCTGCAGGCAAGATTGTAATAGGAAGGCCAAGTCCAGGCTGAGGCCAGGGCTGCTCCATCCTCATGGGGTTTTTCAACACACTGAAGAATGAAGGGTTTTACTAGAAAGCCCAGCTGTCAGCTTCTCCTGAAAGACTTAAGGGTTTGGCCAAGCCAGGCCCACATTTCCCTGCCTCTCTACCTCGTGCTGAGAAGACATTGCTGGTCCCCTGGGGCCTGTAATTTAGGACTGCAGTCCTGGGCTTTCTGTTCCTTTGATTCAACTTATTAATGTTTTGGCCTCTCCAATGTTAGTTTTGTTGAAAAGCTACTTTAGGAATAAATCAAAGAAGGGAAACTACTTTTGCCAAGCACTCGGTCAAACATTTATTACTCTAAGACACATATGAAGAATCTTATCATTGAGAAGATTTAAAAAATCATAGTGATACTACTACTTATAATAATAATCAATACTAGTGATATCTATCATTCGTCTGCTGCATTTCAACTCAGAAGCGCCCTGTTAACTGTAACTGGGAAGACTCTCGTAATTGCTCTCCTTTGTAACATGTTGTTGTTGTTGTTGTTGTTGTTGTTACGTGCCATCGAGTCGTAGACGACTCATAGAGACCCTATGAACAAAAGGCCTGAGCACTGTTCATACATAAGAGTTTCCAGAGACAAGCCATTTCGGAAGTGGATGCCGCTCCTCCTTCCAAGCTTGTTTCAATCGGGAAGAGCCACCACACACTGTCCACCAACATACAGACATTATTACTTAAAGTTTACAGGTGGAGAAACTGAGGTCTAGAGTCCAGTTAAGCTGGAACAGGGTATATAACACCATGACTGGATTGGGCACCTCAGAGAGATGGCAGAGACTTAGGGCTGAGACTCGGTGGCACGCAGAGGCAGGCGACCGGCTGACAGCCAGCCTGGCTGCTCTTCCCCTAAGCCTGCCTGTCCATGTCTCACCTGAGCAGTAAGAGCTCATGGGGGAGGGGGGATTTTTCAGATATCATGTTTATGTTGATATTAAATGAGCCTCTGGGGAAACTGGTCAGAATTTCCTGCACCCCCAAGTGCCAACAAGATGAAGAGGAGAAGAGATGGAGGCTTGGGCATGTCCTCTCCCAGCAGCAGACTCTGCTTTGTCCAAGACAGAGATGAAGCATAATGTGAGGGACATCAGGAAACCACTGCGTATCTCCTTCTCATCTACTGCTCTACCCACCTCTCATCTACTGATCCACCCAACCATACACCCATCCACCCACGTCTCCATCCACCACTCATTCATCACTCATCTATCCATCCACACATCCTCCATCAGCCACTCACATACCCACTCATTTACCCACCATCCATCCAGCCATCCACTCATCTATGCAGTCCATCTTCTATCCAGACAGTGAAAGAAACAAAAAAGTAAAGAAATAAAGGAAGGAGTCAACTAACCTTTCAGCCACTTTTATTTGCCCATATGATGACCCAGCCCAGCGCCGACAGTGGGGAGTCTTGGATCTAAGGGATTCCAAGCTCAGGGAGACCATCAGGCCGTCTCAAGGATGTCTCATGGTTTCTGAGTATCGCCAGTAATAAGGCCAGGACTTAGCATTGTCATGTCTTGGGTGGCTCAACACCATCTCAAAGGTTCCCTGCTGTTCACCTTGTGCCGTCACCCTTACTTTCAAGCAAAGACATCTGAAGGGGACCCTGGCACATATACATAGTCATTCCTATACTATATGGCACAGGGAGACACACAAATGCCCTTGAATATGCAGGAGCTCACAGAAGCACATACACGCACACACAAAAGCACAGCAGAGTGCTGGAAGGCACGAAGTCACACGACTGCTCCAAGAATCCCTGAAGTCTCCGTGTGCATATGCAGAGGGTGTGTGTGAGGGGGTGTTTGTGTGTGTGTGAGAGAGAACGAGAGAGAATGCGAGAGGAGGAAGGGAGAGAGGGGTACAAGTACACACAGACTAGAACCCCCACAGCACCCTGGGCTGAGAGGTGCTGGCCTGGTCGGACTCAGGGCAGAGAGGTGCGTGGTTTCCAGGCCTCATGCACATCTCTCTGCGCCTGTAAGACCCAGGACTCTCTCCTGGGCTGGTGGCTCAGTCTCAACCAGGCCCTCTCCCAACTGTCTTTATGGCCCCTGTCCAAGCACTGTGTTTCCCCCTCAGATACAGAGGCCACAGCTCGGGTATCCTGGTGAGGAATGGAGCTCCCTGAGCAGGACTCTGCCCAGTGATGAGGACCAGATCCTGTGATGGGTACCCCACACCCAGGCAGCGGGCCTGCCCACCACAGCGGCCACACAAGGGCAGCGACCTATTCTGGAGGCTCGGGTTCCACAGGCTGAAGCTGGGGATTTCTTTCTCAGTTAGCACTGGTCCTCAGGCCCCCAGGGCTGACCTCACCCTCATGGTAAATCAGGTCTGAAGTGCCCAGCAGTGTGTGACTCATGGAAGTGTCCTGGTCCCATACCCAGCCTCGCCCTTCCCCACCCCAGAGCGAGCACAAGAACGGAGAAGGGCAGCCGTGGAAAGATGCAGGCAGACACACTATAAATAAAATATTCATATAAAAATAGTCTCTTACAAAATATTCTCTCTGATCCAGTGGCTCGCTTCCAAAAGATGGAAGTTTCTGGGAGTTTGATCATTATCTTTCCTCTTTCTATATATGCCACACCAGACTTTTCTGATGGCGAGTGTGAACTGGGGCGGGCGAAAGGATGGGAAATGTATTCTGGGAAAGGACTCTGATTCAAAATCAGCTCAGCTTTCTGGATAGATAGCAGCAAGGGGGGAAAAATTATATGTGTGTGTACAGGATGTCAGCTTTTGCACTTAAGACATCTAGCTTCAGGAGGGATACTCTCGGAATCAGCGAGCAGAAACACACACAGTGAGCTCACAGGTACAGGCCCACTCGGCCTCTTGTTCGAGGGACAAAGAACAAAAGGTATCCATCCCACAGAGAAAGCAAAGCAGTCCAATTTGACTGCAGAAAATGGATCCCAACGAGGTGAAAGGATTCTTTTTAATTAAATAAATTAATATTATTTTTTATCAGAATAAATTGTTAAATATTGCTAAGGTGAGGCCCGAGGGTCCAGCGTTCCTGCTGCAGAGGGCAGCGTCAGGGGGGCAGGTGGAGCCGCAGTGGGCGCGGAATGGTACAGTAGAGGGCCTGGAGGGGGGGGGTCTCCATGGGAGCCGGGGGTCCCTCCCAGGAGAGGCGTCCCCCACAGTAGAATAGGCGAGCTCGGCGCTCCCGTGGTCCCCCGCGTGGGCCCTGGAGGTGACTCCAGCATCCAGCCTGCAGTGCAGGGCTCACTTGCACGTGTAGACCTCGGTGCGCTCGCTGCACGTGTTGCACTTGACGTAGCAGCACCAGTGGAACTTGCAGTTGCACTGCCACACGCGCGCGTACTGGTGGGTGTTGTAGCCGCGGCCGCAGCACATGAGGTCGCAGCCGCTGGCCTGGGGGGCTGTCTTGTTGCAGGCGCGGCCCTGGGTGCCCACGCTGCCCGTGACCGGGTCCTCCTCGCAGTAGTTGGGCGACTTCTCGATGTACACCAGGTCCGTGTCCATGGGCTTGCGGTAGGACAGGGGCTTCTTGATCTTGAGGAAGGTGGGCCGCTTGTTGCGGCTGGCGCGCACGGGCTCCACGTGCACCGCCTCGTTGTACTTGTCCTTGAGCACGAAGCCCAGCTCCCGGAAGTGCGGCAGCGTGGTCCAGCACGTCTTGGTGGTGCATGAGCCGGACACCCCATGGCACTTACACTCCAGCTTCATGTTCTCCTCGAGGATCTGCAAGGGCGGGCAGGGAATAGCACAGCACAAGTCACCGCGTGCCCGGCAAGGCCCACCCCCACCCAGCCCCACCGAGGCAAGCTCTGCTCCAGCTTCTGGTTTGCGGGGCAAGAGACTCTGCCCTGGATTTCAGTGCCACCACCACCCGCCCCCAGAAACTCACTTGCCCTCTTTGCCTCCCCAGTGCCCACGTGCCTGGCACTGAGGTCAGCCCTCGCCAAGCCAGGCCAGAGATGCATTCTTTTTGGTCTGCACTGGTTCAAGGCAAATTCGAACCCACTATTAAAGCACCAGGAGAATTGACTTTAAAATACAGACTTCCAGGTTTTCTTAACAAATAGAAATTAGATCTGTCAACATGAGAATGACAAAAGTATGGACTAACTAGGACAGCTGAGCACTGGCCTCTCGGAGTAGAAGCTGGCCAGTAAAAGCCAGCTGGCTGTCCTGCTGTGCCTGGCTTATCACATTCCCTCTCACACAAACACAGGCTGGGAGCTGTACCAGCAAGTGCTTCCCACACACACACACTGACACCTCCCAAGGTGCCACAGGCCCCACCGTCCCCTATTGGCTTCTTAGATGCCATCAACTTTGATCAATTTGGATTCCCACTAGGTCCCGCTAGGCGCGAGTTTGGAACTCCTGGCTCTGATGGAACCTTCAACTGCAGCTTTCCTTGACCCCTTCTTTGAGCTCCCAACACCCCTTTGCTTCTATCTTGATGGTATCAGAGGCAGCATTATTCAGTAGTTCAAAGGCATGCACAGATGGTTCAAAATCTTGAGGTTGAGTTCCAGATCCTGGGCAAGCTATTCCACCCTTCTTTGCTGCACTTTCTCCTTACATAGAATGAATAATGATACTCAATGGCAAGCAGAGGGCCTGGAGGCACACACATTTTGCACTCCTAGTCTTTAGATTGCTGTGCTTGTAACCCGAAGGCCGCTCCTCCCAGGCAGCTGGAATCCACAATGGTGGGTAATCCCCTCCTAGAGAGTTTACAGCATCAGAAATCTGCTGTGGGGTCAGCTAGAAGCTGGTTCTACCCCTGCAGTTATGAGGGGTTTTTTTTTCAGAGACCATCCTATGTTGATGAGTTGAGACTATCTAATTCAAAATGACAGATAATGGGTCTCACAACCTGCTCCTGTTAAAGGTGCAGCCATGAAACCACCATGGAGCTGTTCTAATCAATATGCACGCATCTGTATGGATTGGGACCAACTCAATAGCAAATGATTAACAAAAATTATAGGTGTACAGTAAGATACTGGCTGTTGTTGTTATGTGTCGTCGAGTCAGCTGCAACTCATAGTGACCCTATGTACAGCAGCTCTGAAGCCTGCCCTGACCTGATCCAGTCTCACTTACTCTGATACACTTGCCCCTGTTGCCCCAGTCACTGTATCAATCCATCTCATCTGAGGTCTTCCTCTTCTGCACTGTTCCTCCAACCCTTCTGAGCATGGTGTCCTTCTCCAAGGACTGGTCCCTCCTGGCCATGTGCCCTAAGTATGTGAGATGAAGCTTCAAAATCCTAGCCTCCAAGGAGAAACTTGGTTTCACCTTCTCCAAGACAGACTTATTTTCTTGGCAGTCCACTGTATGCTCAAGACTCTTCTCCAACATCACAACTCGAAGACATCAATTCACAGCAATAGGAAAGAATTCACTTACAATAATTAATCTCCCCCAAAAAAGAATTAATCCCAAAGACATAATGTTAAGTGAAAGAAGTTAAACATAAAAGAATCTACTGTATGAATCCATTTATATGAAATTCAAGAGCAGGTCAAGTTAACATGCAGACGTTTAGAAAAGTGGTTCCCTCTGTGGGGTGGGGTTCCAGGGAGCCAGCTGGAGAGCTGGAAATGTGGCATATTTTAATCTGGGTGGTGGTTACATGGGTGTATACTCATGTGGAAATTAGTCTTTTGGGTTTCTGCTCTTGCCTGTAAGCTATTCCCACCACCCTCAAATAGGTTGAACCAAAAATACTAGTTCTGAAGTCACTGGGCCTTAAGTTACATAACATGATGAGAGTAACGCCTGGCACAGTGAATGACGAGTGGTCGGGAGCCAGTGCTCTTACCGCATCTTGGTGCCTATCACCTGCTGGTCCCTTCCAGGAGAACATGGAGTATGTCCACCCTGAATGTCCTGACCTCAGGGCTGGGGTGTTCCCAGTACCAACTAAACAAGTGCTCAATAAACAACCATTCCATGGGTGCAGCCCCGGGAGCACCCTGCGAAGGCATTTCACTTCTGGAGCACCACTGTGTCTTTACTCCCCTAGATGACAAGGCTGGTACCACCAGCCCTGGAGGGAGAGTAGAATGGGCATGCATATGGGTACCTAGCAGAGCCCCTGACAAACAGAGGAAATGCTTAATAGATGGCAATGATATTTCTTTATTAGTATTTAATTTCTTTTTAATATGGTACTCAAAAGCACCTAACAACAACAACACATATATTTGAAGACATTTGTCATTTCAACAATATTTGCATGCATTGCAAATATTAATTGACATTGATTAATGTCAATTATTTAATACAATTAATTAATTGACATTCATTTCCTCACTTGCTGAAAGTGAGGAGGACTTGAAGCACTTGTTGCAGAAGATTGAGGAAAGCAGCCTTTGGTAATGGATTGCATCTCAATGTCAAGAAAACAAAGATTCTTACTACTGGACCGACAGGCAACATCATGATGGATGGAGAGGAAAGTGAAACTGTCAACAGCTTTGTATTGCTTGGATCCACAATTAAAACTGCTGGTACCAGCAGTTAGGAAATAAGGAAATGCATTGTATTGAGAAAATGTGCAGTTAGGAACCTCTCCAAATTATTGAGGAGTAACAATGTCGGTTTGAGGACTAAGGTATGTCTGATTCATGTCATAGTCTTTCTGATCACTTGTTATGTGTCTGAGGCCTGAACAATGAATAAGTCTGACAGAAGAAGAACTGATGCCTTTGAGCTGTGGTGTAGTAGAGCACTGAACATCCTACGGGCAGTCAAGAGAGCAAACCGATGTGTCTTGGAGAGGGTGCAGATGGGGTGCTCTTTGGAAGTGAGAATGATGAGGCTTTGCCTCACATACTTTGGGCATGTTGCTAGGAGGTGCTATTCCTTGGAGAGGGACATGATGCTGGGAAGGGTGGAGGGTCGGCAAAGGAGAGGAAGACCCTCAACCAGGTGGATTGACACAGTGACTGCTGCAATGGGATCTTGTGTGTCAGGAAGTGTGAGGATGGCGCAGGATAGAACAGGGTTCAGATTTTTTGGTCATAGGGTACTCATAAATGGTACTCAACTCAATAGCACATAACAACAAATACCCTCACAATGTTGTTGTCATGTGCCATTGAGGCAACCGCAATTCAGAGTAACGCTACGCATAATGGATCTGAACCCTGCCCTATGCCGTGCCATCCTCACCATCTCTGATATACTTGAGCCCACTGTTAAAGTCACCATTCAAGCCATGTATTTGAGGGTCTTCTTCTCTTATGCTGACTCTCTACCTTTCCAAGTCCTTCTCCAAGGACTGGCCCCTCCTAGCAATATGCCCAAATGGTTAACATAACTATGATGGTCCTGCCAACCGGTTCCAGCTCTTGGGATCTCCCTGGGTGTTGTGAGTGGCTGTGGGTTAGACAGGTCTGCAGATGGTATAACTGCCTCTGCTGTCACTGTACATTGTGGCAACGGCTTCACTGTTCTAGGCTTCAGTCTTCCCTATCCATGAAATGAATTCAATAACCAGTATAAGCTCAGAGAATCATCCTGAACTGTAGCATCCAATATGTCATTACTATACTAATCACCACCCATCTGTCAGTGTGCCACACTGTAGTGGTGGCTGGCAGGTTGCTGTGACGCTGGAAGCTATTCCACTGGAATTTCAAATACTGGGTTTCGGCAGAGCTTCTAGAAAAAGACAGACTCGGAGGAAATGTCTGGCACTCTGCTTCTGAAAATCAGCCACTGGAAATCCTAATACCACAGGATACTGCCTGATATGGTGGTGGAAGATGAGTCCTCTAAGCAAATGGTTGTTACTTTGTACCATCAAGTCAGAACTCACCCGTAGCTGACCCTCCAGGGGGTTTTCAGAGACAGTAAATAGTATGGGAGAAGACTACCTATTTTTCTCCCATGGAGCAGCTGGTGGATTTGAACCATATACCTTTGGATTGGCAGTGCAATTCCTTACCTCTAAGCTACCAGAGCTCCCTAAGCTAAAAGACGTTCAAACTGCACTGCAACAGTGACTGTGGGCCAGTGCAGGATCGGGTAGCTGCCATACTCTGGGCTGCCGTGAATCAACACTAACTCAACAACAAAATGGCAACATTCTTCACCAAAGTGCTCTAAGCCTCCCTTGCTTCATCTTTTTTTTTCTTTCTTTTCTTTTTACAATATTCCTTTGAGTAGATACTCTCAGCACCACGTCATGAGTGTTGTTGACTTTTCAGCCTCGGTAAGCTTCTTATTCCATTAAAAGCATGACCAGTACCCATCAATGCATGAATGGGTAGAGAAACCATTACACATTCATACAATGAACTCCTAGGCAACGCTAAAAAACAATGAAGAATTCATGAAACACTGTGTAACATGGATGAGTCTAGAGGACATTGTGCTGAGTGAAATGAATCAGACACTAAAGAAGAAATACTGTATAAGACTACTGTTATAAACAGGAACCCCTCCAGAGTACTGAGAAGCAATGATGTCAGCCTAGAGACTAAGGTGCACCTGATCCAGACCATGGTCTTTGCAATTACTTGCTATGTATCAGAGAATGGAATAATGCCTAAGAAAGATAGAAGAATAATGCCTTTGGGTTGTGGTGCTGGAGAAGAGTCTTGAACATACCATGGACTGCCAAGAAAACAAACAAGTCTGTCTTGGAGAAGATGAAACCAAGTTTCTCCTTGGAAGCCAGGATTTTGAAGCCCCGTCTCGTACTTTGAGCGTAT